CCTTCTGTGAGTAAGCGGGCCCATACATATGCATGGCTGCTATTTAGATGGCATTTACTGCCCATTCTGTGGGTATGTGAGCTCGTGGACTGATAGTGTGCGTGTCAGGAACAGCCTTTTCCCACCCACTGCTATTGTGCATTAAGGCTGACCAGAGGAGACTGAACAATGGCTGCACTGTGGGTGTCAGTGTACGAGGGAGTAAAAGTGAGGATGAGGCTAAAGATACGTGGTCTCCCACACGAGGAGAGCTGACACACACATACAGACACAACCTCCCTGTTGAGAGTGATTAGGAGTGCTGCTGTGAACAATAGACAGAGTCAATAAAGGACTTCGGAGAAGTCCGGATATACAAGAGCAAGGTCTCTATCCAACCCCCCCACCCCCCATGTTTACTTTTTCTCACCATCCTGTTCACCTTTCCTCTATCCATCCTTTCCAAACTTTTTTATATGTCATGTCTGACTCAGCTTGCTCCATGTATCACTCATTTTCCTGTTGTCTCCGTCCCTCTCTCTCTCTCTCTCTCTCTCTCTCTCTCTCATATAGTCTGTCTCCATGGCGTTCCTGTCTTTTGTGAAAATTGGCGGACGGGCTGAGCTGACACGGGCTGACACGGCAGGGCGCCACAGCAAACTGAAATCCATCTTGTCAGTTTAGAATCAGTGTCAGTCATTTTACAAGGTTAAGGATATTGCCTAATGTTCTGTCAGATACAAACAAACACGCTCACGGACCTGGGCACACACGCACACACACACACAAGCGATACATTTAAACTACACTTTCACATGCATGGTCCAACTCTCACCTACATATAAATATGACCTAAAACAGGTATTACAGCCTTTATCTGTGTATCAGTATTAGATATTTATGAGTGCGTGTGTCTGTGTGTGTGAGTGAACCCCATCCTAAGCCCTATCACCCCCCGTGACAGACACAGTGCCACAGAAATGTCTCGGGGCACCTCGCCCAATGTCTTGACAATAGTCTCAGTGTTTGTGAGTGACAGAGAGTGAGTCGGGGGACACAGAGAGGGCGTTATACTGGGTAGACGACACACACGCGCACACACAGACACACACACACATTAAAGAGGGAAGACAGTGCACTCTTTCTCTCCCCCTATGCTGTTCCTCATTCCCTCTCTCTTTGACGTACAGAGACTCAATCATTCTCACACTCTTGTCTCTTTTGACGCAGAGGAAACACATAAAACAACTGGTCCCCCTCTCTCTCTCTCTCTCTCTCTCTCTCTCTCTCTCTCTCTTTTTCTGTGTAGGTGTGCGTGCATGCATGTGTGTGCATGTGCAAATGTAGACTGTATAATTAATGTGGCTTTCATTTTCTTTGAGCTATGAAGTATGCTTTTGGTATGCAAACAGACTTCTTGCATGTGAGTGTGTGCATGTGTGACATGTGTGTGTATGTGTGTGTGTGTGTGTGTGTGTGTGTGTGTGTGTGTGTGTTTGTGTGTGTTGGATTCACCAGAGACAGAGTGCAGAGTCGCGCCATAGAGCAAAAGTAGAAAGGAGGAGAGTTAATGAGAAAGTAGGGGAGAGAATCCAGCCTGTTCCCATTGATAACCTCACTACACACTTCAAGCATCTATACGTATACATCCCCGTTGGAAATCATGGTTCAGCACTGAGGTTATACTGACTTCAGTGAAGCCGTATCCTGCAGAGATTCAGAGTGTTGAGCCTTTGCTCACGAGTCACACTGAATCACACAAATGTTTTAAAATGCAAATTATTCCACAGCTACTGCAGTAAAATGGTAAAGCTGCAGCGGAAAACATAATGTTTGCTGCATATTAAAACAACAGGTGTATACCGCACTCATTAATTATAATTAATACTGCACTAATTCATTATAATTAATACTCTCCTATACTCGTTAGTATTTAAATGTATGTGGACTTCAGCTGAAAGCCTACAGCACCATAATGGGCTATAAGCATTTCCTGAATGTGTAATAACATAAACATAAAATCTGTTTCTAATCTTTGTCAGTGAGGACATTTTCACACCTTAAAGTCCAAAGGTTTCTTTTCTTTGCTTACATTTGATCCTGCAACTTTATTTTTGGTTTAGTTAGATTGTTTTCTGGTTATTTTATCTATTAACTGATCAATCATTTGATAACAAGAAATTCAAGAGTCCAGAACCCAAACAAATTCAGTTCCAGTGGAAATCTAAGGAAATATACAACTCTCAATCAATTCTGAAATTGCAGCCTGTGCCTTTTGATTTTATTTTGGCATTTGCTTAAAAATGATCAAATTTTTGCTGATTGAGTTTCTAATCCAATAATCAATCAGTCAAATAATTGTTCCAGCTGCTGCTCTGCTGAGAAAACCTCCATCTCCAAAGTGATGATTTTTTTTTTTAGCAGCCTTGTTTTAAGCTTTTTAAGCTTAATTTTCCAGCTAATTAATCCTCTTTTGCTTTATCTGAAAAAGTCACAATGAGGTTGTTTTGATGGGACAGCAGTAAGACGCCTGATGTACTATACATAATGTTTGCATGACTTAAGTAAAAGCACTGAAACGCTCATAGTTTGAATTAGGCACTTTGTAGACGCAAGTGCGCCAGCTAATGTCTAACTGAGGTCGTGCTGTGTGTAAATTGGTTTCCTAACAATCTAGATCCCAGACTCACATTCTACATAAAGCCCCATATGGGAGTAGAGGAATGAATTATTAAACCGTTCATAATGATCGTGCCATGTGAGAGTTACACAGCTTTGTAAAAGTCACGCAGAGCCATTTTCCTTCAGAAGCGACTCAACACGCACATGAAACTGACACCGTGCCCTTTGATATTCAGTTCGTATTTTAGTCAATAATTTCAGATTCATCCTCGAAAAACCTGCTGCTGCTGCTTTGTGTTGGAGATCTCAGCTCACTTAAAATCTGGCTGTGCATGTTGAGCGCGGTTGACTCCTGCCTTTCAGAAAACTCCGAAAAAAAAGGGAGAAAAAAACCCACTATTGGAGATCATGTTGAGGTGAAATTGTCGATTCAACATGTTTTTTGATGGAAGGCTCCCTGCGACGGCTCCGCTGGATTTAAAAGGGCCGTCGTCAGCAGAGGCCGGCATTAAGAAACACTCTCACGCATCAAATTCTAATCAAAGCCTGCTCTTTTTAAACAGCCGTGAAAGCTTTCATGTTAACACGACACCGCGACCGAAGCTTTATTCACACTTTAAAAAAAGAGGCTGACCGGTCAATGAGCGTGCGCTTATGCCTGTGCCCAACAATGCGCCATATCTGTGTCAACACACTCTATCCGTGCTTCTCATTTTACCGCCGATACTGTGTGTGACACCCCCGACCGTGCATAAATTGTCTGTGATCCCTGCTGTACACCTGTGTGTGCTAGTGTGTGTGTGTATATGTGCACACGGGGATGTGTATATTTTCCAAAACATCTCAGGTTGTCGGCTCAGATGTGAGTATTTTCTTTTATCCGGCCAATTAGAGGTTACCATTTCATCTCCATGGAAACCTGTTTGGGGCCCTAATTGGCAGATAGATTTGCATGACTTTGGTTGCAATTTTTCTTCTCTGTGCTCGTGTTTAGGTTTGTTTGTGTGTGTGTGTCTGTGGATCTGAGTTATGCTTAATAAGAGTGTTGTTTTGGTTTACTCGGTTTCATCTCCTTTTTTTTCTCAATGCAGTTGGTAGCTATCTTCACAATATCTCTGTATTTGTGAAACAGGAATTGGAAGCCTCTTAAATAATGCAGGTCTCACTACTCGTACCTGTGCAGTGTTGACCCACCACGAACCCTCTTTATGACAATGAATGTGTTGTATAATGTCTGGAGCACTAACTGGTTTTAAGTGCAGTTTAATTCATCAAAGTTCTGCCTTGAGTGTCCGCGGGTAGACGGGTGGAAAAAATACCCATGATGCTTATATGTAGTGGATGAAGGTGGTGGTGGAGGGTGGTTATTTGTAATGTCTAAGGCAGAGAGTTAAAAGTGGAGTGGCTGATCGTGGAGTCTGAGTGAGTACCTGTGCGTGTCAAACAGGTCAAAGTATTTTAATGCCTCTGTTTGAAGGCACCAGAGGGATTTCTCTCCAGCAGCTCCACCGGTTAGTTTGTGTATAGTTCAGCCACGTACCTGTCTCTCTGTGTGTGTGTGTGTATAGGTAGGCATCTCTTATCTGGTCTATTTCTGACATAAACAGGCAGAGGCAGCTCAAAGGGGATCAGAACACACACACACACACACACACACACACACACACACACACACACACAAAGGTGCACATGTACACTAAGAGAGGCTTAGGTCAGTGGTATAATATGGAGCATCGCTGTAGGCAGAGGCCTGCCCACTCACATTTATGTAACTTCTTCGATAGGGCAGGTACAGAGCTCTCTATTTTATCTCTCTCTCTCTCTCTCACACACACACACACACACACACACACACACACACACACACGAACACACCCTCTCCTCTCTATCCCTTTCTTTCTCTACGCTCCCTCCTTCAGTTCTGCACCCCTGGGCGATACCTAAGAATGTATTCTCATTTTGTAGCTTCACATCACCCACTAACACTCACTGAACCATCATCTTTTCTTCCACTCCCTTCATTTCACCTCATCTCCATCCCCAACTCTGATAACCCCAACTTCACCTCCTCCCCCACCACCACCACACACTTCTCCTCCATGGGTATTGACCAGGAATGTCTTCTCTCCTCTTCCACTAATTTTGCATCTCTTCCTCCCTCTTTCTCTCCTATCTCCATCTTGATCTTTTCGATTTATCTATCTTCCACCAACAATTCTAAAACAGATGGTTACACTTAGCCCGGGGCGAAAACATTGGCTCTGGACTACAGCGCAACCAGGGCCAGTCTTTCGCGCTCACGCTAGATCTAATAAGCTGATATATAGCGAGAAAAATTTGCTCTAATTCGCCAGTGGCAAAAATGCATAAACCATATTGCACAGTGCGGTTCTTCACACCTTAGGCTTGTTCCTTGGTAGCATGCTTACTTTTATCCAAGGAGAAAAAATTAAAAGCAAAGATTAAAGCGGACTTTAACTACAGTCTAAAAACAGAAGAAGAAGGGGCGGAAGGGAGGGGGAGGGAAATTGAGAGGGTTGTTAAGAGCCATTTGTAAAATTTAGAAAAAAAAAACTATTAAGTGTTATTAAAAAAGAAGTTTTGGAACCATTAAAAAACGCGCTTTGAAAAGATGGGTCCAGATGGAGTGTGATGAAAAGAGATGAAACCACTTAGGGAGAACAGAGAGATCAATCAGAGGGAAGACAGACGGAGGAGGATATGAGTGTGTGTGTGTGTGTGTGTGTGTGTGTGTGTGTGTGTGTGTGTGCGTGTAGTGGGCGAGGCAGACATTGGGGATGAAGGGTTGGAAAGAGACGCTTTTTTTTATTGGATGAGTTACAGAGAACGGAACTCAGAAGCAGACAGTGCAGGTGACTGGTCTGCAGAATATTCAATCACTTATGATTGAGTGCTTTTCTTTGTCTCTTTCTTCTTGTCATCCTAGTTTTATACGTTGGTACATGAAGTCTGTTTTAAAGTTTGTGTGTTCAGTGTGTACTGTCCGAATAATGAGGGGTGTGGCTAGCTCTGCAGTGTTGCCTCACACTATTGGGGTAAGGTTAATTGGACACTCCAAAGCTCCTTTTCCAAATGCTAACGTGTGGCAACCCGGGTCAAAAGACTCTGTAGTAGACTCAGGTTTTTATCGGCTTCAGCTCCGATCAACAGAAACAAACTTTGCTACTGACAGTGGGAATGGACTGAATTGCCTTTTTAGTGGGTTTTGTTTAAAAAACACGTTACCTGCTAATGTTGGTGTAAAAGAGGTATAAATAGTCTGTATGTGTGAGTGTGATTGTTGTTTTTGTAAGTTAACCCCTGCAGTACGCTGTTATACCCCACCTCTCGCCTAATGTCAGCTGGGATTGGCTCCGGCTTCCCCCATGACCTTTGAACGATAAGCTGCACGGATTAATGGATGGATGTTTTCACTCTCTTGCAGTTAAAACTTCATTTTAAGTTAGGAGTTGCAAAAATAAATGAGCAGATAATTAAAGTAACATGCAGGTGTCTGACTGCGTGCTCTTAGACTCCTGTCAAGGTCTCTCTGAGGTTTTAAAAACAGAGTGTCCATAAAAAAAAAGGAGAGGACATTAATCAGCTTGCTCAGAGCTGCTAAACAATCAGTGGCTGTTTACGTCTGGGAGTCACGTGACACGGAGACAGCTGTTGGTAGCTTTGAGATCCCAGACAGATGTTTGACTAATGATGTCACCAGGTACGACCTGATTATTTATTTCACAACACTTTGACACGTGATTAAAGTCTGGAAATATTGATTTTTGTATTATTAAAAAACATATTGAGAGTAAAGCACAGACCTGAGTATATTGTATAAACTTTCTGGAAAAATGTCTACAGACACAAGCTTCAATATGCAAGCTTAGAAAAAAAGGTTGAGGTAAATCCCCCTAATATTATAAAAATCCCTCACGTGCTGCCCACTGAGCTGACAGCTGTGACATCCAGCCGCAAGGTAAATACGTTTAAAATCCCTCTACCCAGTTCAGCTTGATTCAGCTGCAGTTGTGACCCAGTCCTACTCGATTCCATAGAGTTTGAATTACACAATTGAGCCGAGTTGGGCTCAGTCCAGTTCAATCCAAAATCCATTCAAGTCAATTTAATTCAAACCGACTCAATACCACTTAATGCACTGAAGATTCTTTTGTGTAGGTGGATAAAACCAGTCACAGGGCTACTAAGCTGTCTGGAAATCCCTGTCTAGTGCAAGAACGAGAGCTTTTGTTTAGCAATGTTGAGTAAAATTGCTCAACCCACAGACAGCCATTAAGGTAATGCTGCGAGGCAGATGAGCCGAACGCAGGGACGTACAATGCAGAGCGGAGTCTTCAAGAAGCAAATAAAAGGAAGCATCTCAGAAAGGAGCTTGCTACGCAGGTCTTTGTGTGCGCTCGAGTGTCTGAGCGTGTCAGGGAGTTAGGAGAGAGTGCGTTTGCGGGCCTCCGCGGATGTGTGTGATTCTCAGAGTTGTGCCCGGACGCGTGCATGTGATTCAATCCAGAGGGAGTGGAGGAAGCAACTGATGTAAGAGCTGGAAAACTTTCCTCGCCACGATGGTGTGTCATCATTTTCTTATCAGAGTTTGTCTGCTGGTGGGGAAACGTGTATATGCATAAAGATCTGGGAGGGGGTGTAATTATGTGCTATTACACACACACACACAGTGGACATGTCTGTGTGTATTAAAATCACACGTCTGACACCGGCTGCGTGTGCCTCTGCTTGTCTGTGCGTGCATGTGTGGGAATGACATTGCTGCATTCCTGCAATTTCCCAGGGAGCTTGAAACAAAAGCCAAAGGGAGGAGTTGTTAACACTCAGTAACATTATCAGCTGAACAGCCCGTCTGTATTATCTCTTGCAGACAGTGGGGGGGACTTCCAATCACATTCCAGCTCTAAGTGACCTTGATGAGCGAGGAAACATACGACTTCTCCCTCATTCCTCCGATTCCCTCCTCACTTTGTCTTTCTGCCTTCTGGACAGGACGATGAAAACACACACACACACGCAGTGCAACACCCCGTCCTCCCCCCCCCCCCCCCCCCGTCCTCCCATCACTTCTGCGCCGGACGCAGTCAGTCACGCCGCTTCCATCAATCGAAAAGGTTGAGACAGCGCTCACAGCCCAATTCACAATCAGTGAGAAGTGAAGGAGGACAAAATAGAATCTGGGGCATTGTTACGGTGCTTTCACATCTACCATAATTGGCACAGTTCAAATAAAATCTGGTGATAAAGTGACAGGGTTTTGATCTCCACATCTGTATATGACCACCTGTCTTCGTATGACCAAAGTCTGAGTCACGTGATGACTGAGAAAGAGTGAGAGACGCTCCCGTCTAGTGCAGATGAGACAACTTCAACACATCTGTGAATTGAACAAAATGTGGCTCATTTAGATTTGTGTCTTCTGATCGTAGCAAATGATACATAATCTATTATCTAAAGTTTATTTGGCAACACAACACAAATGCGTGTTTTTCCTTCCTTAGTTGTAACATGGGGGCAAAGGTGAAGAGGATTTGACGCAATTAAAAGGCGACCAAAATAAAATGTCCCATTAACTTGAATAAAACATGGTGTGGGTTTGAACATTGTTGGAAATATTTGGATAATGTAAGTACACAAGTCAACAAAATATATAACAAGGGTCTCATCATTTTTAGACCTTTACAGAAGAATTGTTCCATATTCTATCTTTAAGGAGCTCTTTTCTCCACCAGTGGAGACGATGGCGCCTAATGTTTCAGTCAAAGTGACATGTTTGTAATTCTTTTGTAGCGCAGGAAGTTAAACACAACACAGACAAGAGCTCAACCGCTCTGGTGTTCAGTGTTGTTGATGGAACTGAACTGCCGAGTGTGAAAGCACCTTTGAGCACGGTGGGAAGCTGCGGCGTGAATATGATCCTGGTCAAGCAGAAAATCAATGTTTACAGGCCGAGCAAGTGTTCCCCCCTCCACATCCGAGCGTCTAACACAAACATCTGTCTCCATTTTCCCATAATGTTTGAACCTTCCATCTCCTCTCATCATCTACACCTCTCTTTCTCTCTCTCTCTCTGTTCGGCTCGTGTTCCCTCTCTGATGCCCACTGACTCCTCCCCGTCCCCTCTGCTCGCTCTTTGTCTCCAGGTCACTAGATCGGTTTTCAGTCTGCCACGCAAGGTGATCCCCACTTTGGTTACCTCGTCCTTCTCACCTCTCGCCTACCCCACCTCCTCACCTCTCCACCAACTCACACCGCGAGCATATGGCCAGCAGCATGGCCTGAACTCGCCACGGCTTTAATGAATGCATCAGTGCGCTGTGGTATCATCATGACAGGGGTCACGGGTCGGTTACAGTGTGAGTGTGTAACGTAGAGAAGAGGATGGAGGGTGGGGGAAATGTGTGTGCATGTGTTTCTATTTGTTGCTGATTGACGGTGCCTTTGCCTCGATGACCCTAATACACGCCGCATGTTATCACAGGAGGTGCGTGCACGGATGCGTCCATGTGGCGTGCTGGTGCCCACACAGAGGAGTTTGAGTCTATGACAGACGCTCATAATATTTAATCCTGGAGGGATTTCGTTGAAATGAAAAGCTGCTTTTCAATTTTATAATCCAGTAGACCTAATCTCTGCCTGCGCCTGTCCATACAGTCCAATTAGATGAACAAGACTGGCCAGATGAGTCCTGTTCACCACAAACTCATCTCCATACCCCGTCCTTGCCACGTCAAAACGCTGTGGCGTCATCAGTGTCCGGCATCGACCTTCACCAAGCGTCGCAGAACTGTGCAATGCGCAAAAAACCGGTGCCGTCAACCCACCTGTTTCTGCTGCAGTCTTGGCCTCGTTAACGTGGCATTGATTAGACTTTGTGTGTGTGTGTGTGTGTG